GACTCCTGCAGCAGATGCCAAAGGCTTTGGCTTTGAGGCCCACAGGGAAAGATGGGGTCACCCGAAGCACTGAGCCGTCCCGCTGCAGCTCCGCTGCTCTCCTCCTGGCCTGGCTTCACCTCTCTTCGTCCCTCTCCAGGTGCGACAGCCAGCGCTCCTGGCGCAGCCCGACGACGGCGTGAACCCACCGCAGCGGGCAGGCGTTTTAATTCACCCCGTAGCAGACTAGCACCTTAAAAGCACTAAATTACCTGGGGATGGAGCTGGTGCGGAGAGGGTCTCCGCTCCTCCATCCAGAGCGCCGCGGCGGAGCCCGATAGGGAATGTGGCTGGTGTCATCCCAGGCCTTGAGGAGAGGAGCCCGCACCCATCCAGCCACAACCCAGCCCCGCTTCTTGCAGCCGGCTCCCGCGGCAGGACCTGCGCTTGTATTCCCAAGCTGCAATAAACTCCAAGACGCTTCCCCATGTGGTGGCCGTGCTCCTTGGAACGGGGTCCCGGGGCTCTGGGCAGGACCTGCAGGAAGGAAGCGGGTGGTAGATGCTCTGTTTGGAGAGTGGGTCTGCAGCAGTGTGGCACCCAGCTCGCCAGCACCGTTCACGTATCCCAATGTATTTCACAACCCGCTGCGGGGCCCTCATCTGTAGTTTATCCATGTGCTTCTCTAGAAACTGCTCCGCGTCACGCCGTGCCGCAGGGTTCAGCGGGACGCGGCCTCGGGCGCCCGGGGTCAGCGGTACCCGACTGGTGCCAAAATCTTTGGTGCCGTGGGCAGCCTGCTCTGACAAACATCTTGAAGCCGCCCACGCGCTCAATGGCAACAGTCTCTGCGCCCATTAGGAGCCCTCGAGCCTGGTGAATTCAACCAGCCCGAGCTGTCTCGCCTGCCGCCCACTTGGCCCTTTGCATGCTCGAGGCCACGTAAATGCAAAGCGGGGCTGTTTCTGTCCCTGCCTGCTGGCGAGGGCCCTGTGCCACTGCCCCTCCGGGAGACACGGGTCCCGACGGCGCCGTGGGCTCTGCCTGTCCGCTCTGAGCGCCCGGTGAGCACGGCTGGCCCCGGGCTGCTCTGGGCACAGGGGACTTGGCTCTCCTCTGCACGCCGGGCTTCAAAGTGAGCGGGCGATGCAGTCCCCGGGGCCTCGAGCGTGCCAGGGAGATAGTTTGCCCTTGATGTTAAAAATAAGAGCGAGTATGAGCCCCGTCATCCTCTGGGCTTGGATAAGTGTGTCCAGCTGGGAAAGGGATCTGTGAATTGGTCTCCTGGTCTTCCAAAACAAGGCTCCAAACCAGAACTTTTTAGAGCAGCTTTCCAGGAGCAGATAATTGCACAGGCAAGAGCCAAGAGCAGCAGAGACCCACAGGGAGCCAGATAATGTTTTGGCAAAGCCAGATGCTGGCTGGGGCAACCCAGCTGTAGCTAAAAGCATTTTTGGGGTAGCAGCAGTGCCTGGGGCCTCTGTCAGAGCATCCCCAGAGCCCCTGTCAGCAGGGCAAGGAAGCTGCAGCTGCCCCCGCTTCAGGTCCCTCCACCGCATCCTCCTTCCGGGGGAGCTGCGAGCGCCGTGCTCACCACTGTCCCTGCACACCTCCCCGGACTCTCGAACGACTCTTCACGGGCTCGTTTACGATCCAGTGCTACGTAACGAGGCAGGTCTGACCTCACTGAGCAAAGTGCTGTGTCCTTCTGTTTGCCACGAGGGGACCTGGCCCCACTGTATCCACAGCCCACTTGACTTTTGGGGAGGAAAATGCAATTTGCTTCCATGTGAGGAATGAGGTGGGCCTGGCGTGAGAGGATGGGGAGCTGCCCTGGAAGCAGTTGGCCATGTGAAAAAGGTCGAGAAAACACAACGGGACGAGACCTAGAGCAGTGGGTTGGAGCCGAGGCTGCGCCAGCCTCGGGCATCGCTACGTGTTTGTGATGCTTGGGATGGCTCTCCTTGCGCTCAGCACCCCGAGACATGCAGGAACCGGGCTGTGCATGGTGTGTGCAGCTGCAGGAAATGCGCCTGAGCTGCAGCTGCCTCGCTGCTGCTCTGGGGTAGTGGAAATGAGGGACAACTCCGGGCACAAGCCTTTGGGTTTCAGTTCCCTCTGCACCTACAACAAGCTCCCCCAGCCTCCTCCTCTTCCCTGCAGGACTTGCTGCCAGGACTCTCCCCTGCGCGTGCTCTGTGTGCATGGGCAATGCCCCGGGACTCTTGCAGCAGGGAGGCTCCCGCCTCGTGCTGCGAGGTTGGGCAGTTCAGCCTTGGGTCACATGCGGACGGAGCCTCGGTCACTGAAAACACATGCTAAATTGATTTAGAACTCGCTCCGCTCTTTGGAGAGGAAGGAGGAACAGCTGCATTGCATTGGGATGGGAAACGCGTGCCTGAGCCAGGGCCTCTCCTCCGCGCTCTGCTCCTCGGGGGGACGCGAGCCGGGCAGCCGGGCTGTCAGCAGACACGAGCTCATCTCTGCTGAGCTGTAAATCTCCACGGTGCAGAGCAGGAGCGGCGCGGGCCGGGGGCTGCCCCGCTCCCGGAGCCGCGGTGCTCCCTGCTCCTGGTCCTCCCCATGCTGAGGGTGCTCTGAAGAGATGGATACCCGGGGGCAATCCCAGCTCTTCCTGGCAATCGCTTGCGAGATTCGGGGGGGTGATACCTACAGGGATATTGCTGCCACTGCAGGTGCCTGTTTTGCAGTGGTTGCTAACCGGGGAGGAAGGGGCTGCCCTTCCTCTGCCACTATTCGGAAGCTGGGCTGAGATGAGCGAACTTTGCGGCTTGCCGGACGCCGGTTGCTATAAACATTTCATCGGTGCGACAGAAAAAACAAACACAGCCACCTGTTCCCCTGGCAGCCGGGGGGGGGAGAGCCCACAGCGCGGGGCAGGGACCCACGGGAGCGTGGGGCAAAGGGCGAGAAGCAGGAGCGGGTCAGGGGCTGAAGTGCCGCAGACCCCCCGGCTCTGGGGCTTGCGCAAGGAAGCGCCTGGCGGATGCTCCGTCCTGGGAAGCGGGTCCAGTGGGTCTGTAGCAGGGTGGTACCCAGCTCACCACCATTTCGTTTATTGATTTATTTTTTAAGGCTAATTTTTAAGCTCAAGGAACCCTGATATCTCGTGGGGAGAGCAGCCAGAAGGTGTCCACCCATCTCCTGACGCTTGTTGCTTATCTGCCTGCTTATCTAGGCCGTGATAACAGGGGCTGCACCTCCCATCCCCAGGCGGGATGTCCCAGCCCAGCCCTGCGAAACCCTGTCCCGCTGGCAAGAGCAGCTTCTCAGAGGTGATGGACAATCTTTATCCTGCTGGGTAATGAAATCCCCAGCAAATATTGAGTCAGTGCCAAGGCGGGCAGCTGGGCGCGGAGAGGAGCGTCAAGTAGAAGGGAAAGGAGACACTCCTGGGAACCGAGACAGCGAGGAGATGGCAGTGAGAGTGTGTGTGTTTATTTTAAATCCTTCCCAACTCATTTGTCATATTCCAAGCACAGGCCCTGCTTCAGGAGCTGGCCTGAATTCGGCCCTGCAGGCTATTGCAGCCTCAAGTGCCACGTGCGGAGGAGCCTGCCCGGGGGCACGCATGCTGTGTTGACACCGGGTGACAAAGCTCCCGCTGGCAGCACTGTGCCCCTTGCTGGCAATCTGCCAGCAGAGACCTCTCCATGTTGGAAAGCGAGCCTGCATCCTCCCCGGGGCTCGGCTGGGCTGCTGTGGGGCCTGTACCTGCGGCCCCGCTCTCTGCCCTGCAAAATAGTGAGGGGAAAAAGCAGCAAGCGGGGCGCTTTCCCAGGAGGAGAGCTAGTGCCGCGGGCAGGGCCGGCGCCGGACAGCCCCGCAGCGGGTGCAAGCGCCGCGGGGCGAGGGCCGCCCTCGCATGCAATCGGCATGAGGCAATGGGAGCCGAGTTGTTGGCAGGCGGCGGGGTTGCTATAGCGCAGCAGCAAACACAGCGCGCTTGTCGCCGCCTGAGTCACCCCGGGGCGGAAGCGACCTGAGCTGACACACTGCAAAGAACAACCACGGTGGGTGGCACCGCCGTGTGTCCCCAGGGGCTTCCCAAAGGCCACGCTGGCAGCCGGGGCTGCTGTGGTCTCGGGGCTCCCATATGCGCGGGGCTCATTGCTCCCCCAGAGGCTGCTGCCCCAGCCGGGAGGCCCTCGTGGAGGAATGTGCGTGGGGACAGGGGTGGCTTTGAGAAGGGCTTATCGAGGGGTCACGGAAAGAGAGGAAATTGGCCCCAGCTGAAGGCCCGGAGGCTGCACAGGAGACAGGGAAATAGGCGAGCGGTGCGTCATGGACTGCGCAGACGCTCCCAGGCTGTGAGGAGCTAAGGAGGATGCGAGACAACAGCTGCTAGAGATGAAATTTGGGAAAAAAAGGCAAGCCCTTAAGCCTGGATAACCCAGGGGTGCTGTCAGGGCTGTCTGGAGCCGCAGCCAGGATCCACAGGCCATGAGCGTGTTAGTGCAATGCTAATGCGTCAACGGGGAAGTGCTCGCCGGCCAAGGGCTGGAAACGCCTGCGAGGCGGGAAGTGAAGGGCAAAGAGTGCAAGCGGAGTTCGCGCTAGCGAGCAGGGCCTTGCAGCTTGCATGGCCTCACAAAAGCGATGTATCTTCTCATCACAAACAAGAGTTTGGCTGTGTCCTGGCTGGAAGGAATTTGACGCCTCGTTCGTGGCGTTCAGATGTTAAAAAAGAAGAAGAAGAAGAAAAAAACAGGCCAGGCTCCGTGGCGCTGGGGCTCTCCTACGCGCTAGCAAGCAAAGGCACTCACATTTTTCTCCTGGCACTCGGGGGCCTGGGAAAGGCCGCCGGCCACGGCGAGCGTGACGCGGAGCTTTGCAATGCGCTGGGAAAGCGGCCGGGGGGAGGCACGCATCCCCGAATTAGCAACGCAATTCCCGAGGCGGCGGCGGGCAGTGCGCTGCTCTGCCACGAGCACGAGCGATCCCACGTGTCAGGGCATGGCGGCACCACCGCTGCCCCACGGCCTCCCCCGGCTGCCCTGCTGGGCTGCCCTGGGCTATCCTGGGTGATCCTGGGCCAGGCTGCATTGCACTGGGCTGGACTGGCCCCGGTGGGCTGTACTGGGTCACAGTGGGTTGTAGGGAGCTGCACTGGGCCATGCTGGGCTGTACTAGTGTGTACTGGGCTGTGGGGAGATGCACTGATGTGCACTGGATCGTACCAGCTGCCGTGCCAGCTACACTGGTCACGCTGCTCTGTACTAGACTGTA